TAATTAATGCCCAAAATCTGTGCCTTCAGAATACTTTTCCTGTAGAGAAAGTCTGGGGTGCAGTGTGCATACCAATGCCTGCAGGGCCAGATAGGAATCTAGAAGGGTGAGCTTGAACCAGGGGATAGCCTGCAGGGCTCCTCTCCAGCTTGAGATCTGCAGGCCTCTGAGTCTTTCCTTTTCTGAGTTCTGGTGCAGCTTGGGGCCAGAAGGAGCTCCAAGTGGTGGAAAAGTCGACTTCCAGGGTCATTCGGTATAGAGTGCTTCATCAGCAGCATTTCCATCAAAGCCTGCAGTGTGGCTGGCTCTGCTGGGTCTGTGGTGCCTGTGGGTGCCAGGGCATGAGGGTGTTCCTGTTGGCCAGCCCGGTGTCCCCAGATCACAGGGAGTCCTGAGTGAGCTGTGTCATGGTGCAGTACATGCATGATGGCAGTTTCCAAAAGGTAGGAAGAATGGACACTCCAGAGCATTCCCTCTGCCCCTACATGTGGCAGATTCCAAAAAGCATTCCATTGCCCCCCCCCCCCCATAAAACCCAAAAAGCTCTCTTGGCAAACTAGGCAGGCACTCAGTGCAGAGCCCTTGACAGTATCAGAACATCTGTACTGCAAAACCAGTAATGTCCTGGGCTGCTCGGGCACCCAGAGGGGATGTTCAAGTCTTGGCAATTACTCAGCACAAGCTTTCTGAAAACTGCCCTGAGCAGAACAGACGATGCACCCAGAAGTCCAGGAACACCTGTGAACCTCAAAGCTGAAGGGGTGGGGGACTCTGGAAACCAACTACATGAGGTTCTCACGCAGCCACAGGAGGGAAGTAGGGGGGCAACCACAGAATGTCACATAAGCAAATGAATGTCACATAGAGCAAAACACCCAAATTCACGGGGTGTAGAAGGATGATGGCTAAAACAACAGCTAATATTTATTTATTTATTAATTTGCTAGGTGCCAAAGCACCTTTTATAACTTTCTAATAGTCCTTTAAAGTAAGTGCAGCTGGGCCAGCATGGTAGCCTAGCGGCTGACGTCCTCCCCTTGCACACGCCGAGATCCCGTATGGATGCTGGTTCTAGTCACTGCAGCCCCACTTCCCATCCAGCTCCCTGCTTGTGGCCTGGGAAAGCAGTGGAGGACGGCCCAAAGCCTTGGGACCCTGCACCCATATGGGAGACCCGGAAGAGTTCCTGGCTCCTGGCTTTGGATTGGCTCAGCTCTGGCCATTGTGGCTACTTAGGGTGTGAATCAACAGATGGAAAATCTTCCTCTCTGTCTCTCCTCCTCTCTGTATACTTGACTTAGCAATCAAAATTAAAAATCTTTATAATTATAAAAAATAATAAAGTTAAGTGCAGTTATGATCTCCATGTGAGACTAAATGATCACATGTGTAGCAAGTAGTGCATGAATAAGGATTCCTACTTGGGCAGTTCGTCACTCTGATGCATTCATTTCATTCAGTCATTCGACAATTATGTTGATCGCCTACTATGTGCTGGGACCTGTGGGAGACACTGAAGTACAGCTGTGACAGTGCAAGGAGAAATGCAGAAAGCTCACAGACTGTGGGAGGAGAAAGATGCCCCATCGAACAGACGAAGAACAGACCATGTTGGTGATTAGTGTGAGGAAAAGCTAGAGTATGGAGGGAAAGAAATGTGGGCAAAGAAGGGTCAGTAGTGATTGGGGCAACCAGGCAAGGTCTCGCTAACAAGGGACAATAAAGATGTGAGGGGCTGCGTCAGGCGGATATCTGAAAGAAGAGCATGAGAGGTAAACAGCACACATGAGGATCCTGAGGAAGGAACAAGGTCAGTATGTTCTAGAAAGAAGAGACAGTTGGGGAGAGTGACCAAGAAACAAAGCATGAGGAATTATTGTCAGCTTTTAGGGTTCTGTGTTTTCCGTGGGGGCATGCGGTCATGCATGTTGGAGCAGGGCACTTCGTAGTCAGTCCCTCTCATTACCATGCGGGATGCTGCACAGGGACAAGGCGCCCATGGAGGAGGCTGCTGCAGTCCGCCAGGCAGAAGCTGGCCTGGAGTGCAGGGGCCATGGGACAGGCCTTCCATTCTGAGCTTGTTGGAAAATCGGCCAAGTGAGTAGCCTACAGGTGAGACACGGGGTGTGCAAGACACAGCAATGAACAATGGGTCTTACTTAGGCTTCAAGCGTCGAGCCAACTGACAGCCAAGCTCACATTTTCAGAACATGGGAGAGTGTGGAAGTAGCTTTTGCTTTGTTGTAAGGGAGCAGGGCCGTCACGTCCCGCAATGGTGGTCTGTTTGAGAGGTCTGGGATGGGCCTTGGGTCTAGCCATCTCGCTGCCAGTGTAGACGCCTACACTCCGTATTGAAGTAGTGACCCCACTTCCGAGTCTGCCTCCCTGCTGACGTACACCGGGAGAGAGTAAGGGAGGTTCAAGTCCTTGGGTCCTTGCCACCCGTGTGGGAGACGGGGGCTTCTGTTTCGGACTGCCCTGACGTCTGCAGGCATCTGGCGGGTGAACCAGCAGAGGAGAGCTCTCTCTATCTGGCTGTTAAGTACTATAACATTAAAAACAAAACTAAACTATTAGCTGTCTGAAAGATGATACTGGAGTTGGAGTTCAGGAGAGTAGTCCTATGTTATAAGCTCTTAAAAAAATCATGCCCCACTCTGAGTACTGTATGCATTCATATGTATCCCACATGCAGTTTTGGGAAAAACGATGATCAACAAAAATATATATTGGAGTAGTATTAAAAAGGCAAGTTACGTATAAAAATCCACCCATATCGTATCATCCTGAAAACAGCTGCTTTCGTTTTTCCACAATCCCTTCTGGGTTGACCCATGTGCATGGATCAATCTATAACACTGCAATCACAGCATAGCTACAATTTCATATGCTGTCGTCCACCTCCCACCCCCCACTGAACATGATCCCATGCACATTTTCTTCTGTGGCTCCCAAATGTGTTTTATTGAGGAAGCAAAATGCTAGGTTTTGCTGAGAAACATTTCAGAAAGAAAAGCTGAGAATGCTGCTTTGGTACCAAGTTTCGTCCCCCGTCCCCCCCCCCATGGCTTTGCATTTACTGTAGGGTCTACAAACGCAGGTGCTCTGTGAAGGTGACCTTGAGCTAAGGACTTGAAGGATGAGAGCCAGCCAGCCCTGGGCCAGGGCACACTGGCTGGAAACAACAGCATGTGCAAAGGTCGTGGGGAGGCAAGTGTTTATTCTATAAGGAAGGGTTCAACAATTAAACAGAAAGTAAGCTTGGCTCGTGTGTGGATAGCTTTTCAGAAGATCTTCTCATCTGAACGTCAGATGAGTGGGTACGCAGTGATTCTCTATCACTGAAGAATAATCTTGAGCGCAGCAAGCACCAGCAGAGGTGTGCCTCCTAACGTTCTGTGCGCACACACTCCACGCGGAGTCTGATTGGTTCATTCACCATCCACTGCCCCATTGAGAATCCGAATCCAGCACTTAGAGGGAAGGTGGTGTGTGTGTGAAAAACATAAATGGGTTGTGCAAAAGTGTTCAAACACTTTGTGGAGGACATTTAAAAGGGCTTCAGTTAGCTCCTCTCTGTGCAACCGGGATTCTCCGTACAGGGGTCTGTGTCGTGGACAACGCCTTTTCTTGGCTGGGAAATGCTCCCTTCCCCGAGCCGATCCTTTCGCGTAGCTATTTACTCAAAAGCAGGAAAATCATTGAGAAAAACCACAGGCGGTCCACGCTTCCTCCCGCGGCCGGCAGAGGGAGCGGCAGCCACGCCGCCTCCTCGTCTTCCTTGCCCAACTTCCCCAGTCTCCGATTCAACTAGAAGCGGCCCTTGACCTTTCAAAGCTTTCGAACTGTGATGCAATGGAACAGTATTTCAGAGAAAAAAAAAATGGTTATCGAAATGTTGGATCCGGTTTTCCCGTGAGTGCTGGTGGTTTTTTTTAAAAAGTAGGTCACATTTAAAGTAGGTCACATTTCGGGGGGAGGGAGCGCTAGCAGGGAGACGTGTTTCCATTAAAACCAGGTGGCCTCCAACGGGGTGGGCGGGAGGTGAGGGTCTCGGGGAGGGAGGAGGCGGTGGGATCCTTCCGATTTTTTTTTTTTTCCGGCCGCACGAGCCAGCCCTGCAGGGAACCCGGGACGAGCGCTCCGGCGGTCCGTGCGCGCGCCGAGCGAGGGCCGCCACCGGGCACCTCCCGGGCGCGCAGGTGAAGGGCGTCTCCTCCCGCCACGGGCGCAGGTGAGCCCCCCGGGCCGCCTTGGGAAGGTGGCGGCCGAGCTGCGACGAGGAGTCAGGGCGGAGCCGGGCACCAGGGCTGCGGGAGCCCGCGAGCGGCCGCGCCAGGGGGAGGGCACTGCGAGCACGCGGCTTAAGGAGGCGCCGCTCTCCGCCCGCCGCTGCCTTCCAGGACCCGAGCCGGGGTGGAGGGACCTCGTCAGGCCCGCTCCCGTCGGGCCCCGGGGCTGGCGAGGGGCTTGCCCCGTTTTCCAACGCTGTTGTGTTAAAGAGCGAGAGGGGGCCGGGTCCCGAGGACCCGCATGCTGCCCCGCACCCAAGTGCGGCAGCCGGGGGCTGGGCGACCCCGAGGGGCACAGAGGCTAGAGAGCGGGGGTCTCCCCCGCGCCTCGCAGTGGCCGCCCGGGGCTGCCGTGGGGGTGGGGTGCTGGGACGGGCTCGGAAGGCCGCTCGGGGTTGGGGGTGGCCGGGACACCTCCCTCTCCCCCCCGCCCCGCCACCCCACCCCGGATCACCCCAGGCTGCGGGGTCAGAGGAGGGCGTGGTCCCCAGGCGTCCACACTGCCCTAAACCGCGTCGGAGCGCTCGCAGCCGCGGTGCCTTGAAGCCTGCGCATTTGCGCCGGAGCCTCTTTAAAGCGGCGGCGGGGGCTGCGGTCACGTGAGGCGGATTCCTGGAAAGTTCCTGGAAAGCGGCCTGGGCGGCGGGCGGCGGGCGGGGCGCGGGGCGCGCGCGCCGGGGGAGGGGCGGGCGGCGAGGGAGGCGCCGGGCTGGCAAGTCGCGCGCGCGCTGCGCTCCGGGCACAGGCGTTTAACTCTTGCCAAGTCTCAGCGCCGCTGCCGCCGCGGCTCGGCCCCGGCCTCGGGCTGCCTCCCCTCGAAGCATGAACCTCCTCGGCCGCAGCCACCGGCGCTGCGCGGGCCGCGGACGGTGCGCGCCGGGGCTCCGGGCGCACAGCCTCAGGATCCCCAGCGCCCGCGGCAGGTACCGGCGGGGCGCGGAGAGGGAGCCCTGGGGTGTTGGCGGTTGGGGTGGGGGGACCCCCGCCCCGAGGGCTCCGCCCCGAGCAGAGTCGCTGGGGAGGGCGGCCGGGCGCGGCCGGGTGCGCGGGGGAGCGACGGGCGGCCTGGGCTTCCGCAGTGGGAGCGTCCTAGGAGAGTTGGAGCCGCGGCACCGCCCCGCAGCCCGGCGCTCCTGCCTGCTTTCTCCCGGTCCTAGTCGGCGTCGGGAAGTCGCCGGAGTTGTCCTCTCCCCCGCCCCCCAAACTGCCACCTAAATTAATAACCCTAATAACCTGATCTCCTGCTCCTCCCCACCAGCCTGTCTCCTCCCCCATCCCTCCCTCCCTCTCTCCTTCCCACCTCCTCGGTCGCAGCCAGAGGAACGCCGGCAGCTGCCCCGGAGCGGGGGGCCCCGGGGGAGACGGGGGGGGTGTCGTCCGTGCCCCAACGGGTGTTGCGGGCGGGGCGGGAGGGACAGTCTAGGCAGTGTGCGCTGAGATTTCTGTCCGCCCCCTGCGCACAGAAGTCCGGCCGCCGCCGCAACGCGCGGGGCTGGTCGCATCCCTCCCCCCCACCCCCCCGCTACCTCGTTTCCCAAATTAAACGTCGGCAGGGGACCCTCGGGCAGAAGCCCCCCCTCCCTTCCTGGCCCGGGCCCCTCCCGGCTCCCTCCCCCCCGCCCCATGTCCGCTCCGGAGACTGCCTGGTGCGGAGGCGGCGGCGGCGGCCGCGGCCGAGGTAAGCGCTCGGCGTTGGTTCTTGGCGCGTCCCGCCTCGCTCGCTGCCGCCGGCTCGGTCCCGGCCTCTGGGCTCCGAGCTCCGGCGGCGGCCGTGCGCTCGGGCCGATTCCTCGACAGCGCCCGCGGCGGCCGCAAGCGGCAGCCGACTCTGCCGCCGTCTAGGTCCGTGCGCGCGGCCGCCGGGGCGCCCCCTCCCCCCAGCCGTGCTCCGAGCGGGCGCCGGGAAGCGGGGGAGGGAGGGCAGCGAGGCAGTCTCCGGGGCGGGGATGCGGCGGCTCGTGCGCCTCTGCACCCCGGGCTGGCAGCTCAGGCCCCGGGAGTCCTTTGGCGCGGTAGGGCGTGGAACCAGGCTTGTGTAGGGTGCTTGCTCCGAGCGCCCTCTTGGCTGCGCAGACTGTGGGATGGGAGCGCCAGTTCGGCGATCTCTCTGGTGCTTTTTCAAAAATTTGCTTTCTGTCCTTGACAAGGACCTGTTCTCCCTGGTCCCGCAGGTGGCTGCTCTTTCGCGCTGGCCTGGGTATGATTTGAGCGAGCAGCCTGGGCGGGAAGACACCTCATCCTGCCTCCCACTGTGCCTCTCTGGCCAACTTTTGGGTCTGGAAGCCCCGCGCTCTCACATTCTTTTTCTCTAGAGCTGGGTCGGGGCGGTAGCTGGATGCTTGGGGTTAAATGGTGCCGCAGCCTAGGGGCGGAGGAGTCCCCGGGATTTTCCAGGTCTCTGCTTCCCCACCTCCTCCCCAGCCGCAGGGGTCCAGCTCGCATTGACCGCCCCCTCCCTTTCTCTTTGCAGGCGATCTGTGGCTGGGCGCGTGTGCAGGCGACAGTGCCAGCCGTGTGCCGGGACCTGGCGACACCGAACCGACAGTGCGCCTCCCCCTCCCCCATTGCTTCGGACTCCGGGCGGGAAGTGGTTTTGGAGCTCCCACTGAGTACCAAGAAGGACGCAAACCTCTCTCGGACCCCAGTTCGGGCGGCCACCTGCCCTTGCCGCGGTGACCGTTCTCCCATGACCCTGCGGTGCCTCGAGCCCTCCGGGAATGGCGCGGAAGGGACGCGGAGCCAGTGGGAGACCGCGGCACCCGTGGAGGAGCCGTCCCCGGAGGCTGCGCGCCTGGCGAAGGCTCTGCGCGAGCTCAGCCAGACAGGTAGGGAACCGGCGGCTGCGACGCGGGCGGGAGGGGCTGCCTCCCTAACGGCGCGGCTGGGGCCGCCAGGGAGGAAGCGCCGGCTGCGAGTGACACCTGATGGCAGTGGGAGAGACCCTTAAGCTGCCGATCCCTGCCCCGGGGCTGGGGATCTCGGCGAGGATGCTCGCGCGCGGGGCCCCAAGATTCTAGGGAATACGAAAGGAAACTAGTTCCCAGGGTACTCGGGAATGTCAGCGCGCAAAGGGCACCTTGGTAATAGCCTTGGAGCGCGCTGGGACCGTTTGCTGTTTTCCGCGGCGCCGGTGAGGGAGAAAGAGCGCCCTGCGCCTCCCATTGGATGGAGTGCAGGGGCTCGTCGCAGCCTCTGCCTTGTCTCGCTCCCGCAGCAGCCCCTTAACCTTGCACTTCGTGGCCAAGTGTGGGAACGGATCGAGTTGCAGGGAGGGTGGCTGCCTAGGTGCACGGCAATGAAGCCCCCATCTGGTGCGACCTCCAGGGGCAGCGCTCTAGTCCTCGTCCCTCGGCATATCTGAAAGAAGGGAAGATTGTTTTAAATGAAACTGTTTGGCCAGTTGGCTCGGACGCTGGAAGTCAGGATCCGAAAGCTTAGGCAATGTGGAAGTTTCGGTAGAGGGAGGGATATTCCTGGGTCTTTCTGAGCCGGCCAGGGGTGCTGCCCGAGCTGGGAGCACTGGCCCATTGCAAATGTTTGGTAACTTGGGGGATGGAAGGGTAGTGGTGTGTGTGTGGTGTCCACTGTTCCAACTTGTCAATGAAGAATGCCTTTGGAAACAGGCTGAGCGGGTAGGGGGAATGAGGCAGAGAGATCGAACAGCAGACTGATGGCTGTGCCTGGATTTGAACTCCGGTGAAGTCTGGGAGAAGTTCATCGAAGGTTGCTAAATTTGCGGCTCTAATTATCAACTGAGGCTTCCCATTTCTCAGCGACTGATAAAAGTAGCTGTAATCGAAGCTGGCAGCACACAGGAGCTATTGTCCCAGAGCTGTGTGTTCCAAATCTAGGGGAGCAAGTCTTCCTGGGGCCTTGGCCCCCCAGGAGTTGGTTTACTACTCCGTGGGAGATGACTGGAGTTGGGGGGGGGTGTTCTTTTTAGAGGCATGACTTATCCCCCGCCAACTTAAATCTGTTTCACCAGCTGGCACTGAAAGCATCGCACACTGAAATGCTGTTTGTGAGACTGCGGACCTGTGTTTTCGGCTTGTTAGATAACCTTGACATGCGGAGCCCACAGAGCTCAGCTTTTAAGGCAGCACCCTGAGAGTTCCATTGGCTTACAGTGTGCAAAGTAAAATGGACTCGTTTTCATTACCTTCTAGCCAGAAGCATTCGCGGTAAACGCCAACGTCCGCCTTTTTTTTTTTTTTTCTTAAGAGCTAGAAAAAAAAAATCATTGCTCTATTCTAAAGACCCCTGTAATAACTGTTCTACTCTCTTTTCTTTTTCCTTTTGGGCAAAAAAAAACCACAAAAAAACAAAAACCCAGGATGGTACTGGGGGAGTATGACTGTTAATGAAGCCAAAGAGAAATTAAAAGAGGCTCCAGAGGGAACTTTCTTGATTCGAGACAGTTCGCATTCAGACTACCTACTAACCATATCGGTTAAGACATCAGCGGGACCCACCAACCTGAGAATCGAATACCAAGATGGGAAGTTCCGATTGGACTCCATCATCTGTGTCAAATCCAAGCTCAAACAGTTTGACAGCGTGGTCCATCTGATCGACCATTATGTGCAGATGTGCAAGGATAAGCGAACGGGCCCCGAAGCACCCCGCAACGGCACGGTGCACCTTTACCTGACCAGGCCGCTCTACACGGCAGCACCGCCCCTGCAGCATCTCTGCCGACTGGCCATTAACAAATGCACCGGCACCATCTGGGGACTGCCTTTACCCACCAGACTAAAAGATTACTTGGAAGAATATAAATTCCAGGTGTAAGTGTTTCTCTCTCTCTCTCTTTTTTTTTTTTTTCTAAAACCATGCCTCATGTAGAGTGTCTCCGAGTGCAGCTGTGTAAAAAGAGAACCACACTTGAGTGTGTGCTCTGCATAACCACACGGGAGTTTGTCTTTAAGAACCGCTGACGTCGAGCTAATTTAAACACGTGAAGAGGTAGCTAGGTTATTTAAGGTCCTTCCCCGACCGCACCCCTCCGGATCCATTCACCTGTGTGCTGCTTCCCTGCCTGAGGCTTACCAAGACCAGTTGATCCTCTGGAACGGAGAGCCAAAATATCCCAGCAGAAGGCCAGAGGGTCCCTGGGCAGAGACTGGCCCCTCTGAGGTTCCCTTCCGGGAGGTCCTGGGGCCTCAGCCCGTTAGAGGGCAGGAGTTCTGAGTGAGGAACCGGGCCGACCCAGGCTGGGCTCGGTCCCTGCCCGGTGGGCTGAGTGCGTCCTAGGACATTCTCTGTTTGGCTTTCTGATGTACCCAGGAGTTTTGTGAAATGGATTGTGCTCGTGAGTATTCACCCCTCATTTTTATGCAATTAACTAAATCAGCCAAAAAAAAAAAAAAACCAAAAAAAAAAAAAGACCATGAAATCCTGCATTTGTCTTTTTACTACATATATGAACTCTCTCCTTTGAATGAGTACTGTAGTAATCCATCTTAAGGGAGCCTTATTTAAGAAATACTTCAAACTGGTGCACATGGAAAAGACTTCCTCTTTTCCTCTAAGGCTAAAGACAAGAATGTCCTGCTTCAACAGGTGCAACTCAACCCTTGTTAACAAAACCCAATGTTGACGTAAACAGATGACCCCCCTCCCCCCGAGATAGCTGTATCCTGACCCGTCGCCATTGACTTTTTTGAAAATGGCTCTAGAAATTTCCACGTTGTCCTGAACTGTCTATTCACGGACATCAGCAGTTGTCTCCCTTCTACCATGTAGAATACTTTGACATAATTTTCTTCCAGATATTGGGGGGGGGGGGATACCTGCCTGTGTTTTTTTTTTTTTTAAGTGTTTATTTACTGCTGTTACTATTTGATTAGAATGTATTAAATAAAAAAAAAACCTGACTTTTACAATTTGCATTGATTACTTGGAGTTGTAGACAGCTTGCATTTGCATGGCCGTCAGGGGTTGCCGTGTGAAACTCACGTCAAGCGAATGAAGCCGAACTCTCAGCAAGAGGCAGGACGGTGCTTGGCTTCCTCTAAAGTGCTGGGTTGTCCCTCTGCATTTTGGAGCACATGGCATAGAAATGATGAGAGCTGCCGGGTATCCCGGTCTTGGAAAGGTGGGTTAGGCATACACCGATTATGCCCTTCATGTTTCCAAATAACACCACTCTTAGAAGTTATAAAAATGATGACACCACCTGGTCTCCTACAAGTCGAGTAGGCATGGCACTGAACAAACACCGAGTTTTATGGCCGCTCGTTTTCTTGCCTCATAACTTTGGAACGGTCCCATCTTTCTCGGGTCTAGACATTATTTATCTTGCCACCTTTATTTTTCTTCAGAGTACGTCCCCGGGGCGTGGCATCTGAAAATCGGAGCTGGGTGTGCCGTGCGTGTCAATCTTCAGTCTTAAATCCTAGCAAAATCTGCAGAGTACCAATTGTACCTTAGTATTCAGAAGAACTTAAGACAACAGTTTCGTACCTGGAAGGAAAACGTAACATGCATATCTGAACGCAGGAGCCAGACAGCGAGCGCTCCTGGTTGAGCCTTAGGAGGTTGTAGCCTGAGATAGGAAGAAGGGCGATCTCCTTGCCAGGGCCGCGAACCTTCCCCAAGGCTGGACCCCATCACCCTTGTCAGACTTCTCCCCACACGCATTTGCGTTTGGTCTTGGGTTCTTTGCTCTTCTGGCAGAGTCTGCAGGTGAATACCAACCAGGGCCTCGTGGAATCTCTCCAAAGGTCGTTTCCATCTCCTCCAACATTTTGCTGTGCGAGGGGTCAGTGAGTCAGTGGGGCGAGAGTACCTGTGAGATTATGGGAAGTTCTGCGTTGCTACTAGCAAGCTTGCTAGCCACGAGAGTACAAGAGGCCAGCAAAGACATCCCTGCGTGTCCTGGAAGGAGGACTAGCTTACTGTGTTTTACAGTGCCGGACCCTCTGGCTTGACTTTTGACAATTACAAACATCACTGATTTGCTGAGTTCACAGGTGTACCAAGTGTTTACTGCTTTTCACACATTATCCCGTTGGACTCAAGAAACGAATGAGCAGAATCCAGTGATTACGGGAGGTGACTGTTTCCAGCAGGTTCTAAAAGGAACCCTCAGCCATATTTTATCTTCCTGCTGCCTCGCCTGGAGAAGTGTGGATACCCTAATTAGTGCTATTTCTGTGGGGTTCCTGCGAAGTTGGCCTAGTCGCACTTGCCCCAAATACTCCTGAAAGCGGGGCTTCCCAGAACTGGGATAGGGATGGACAGGGAAGTGCTGCCTTAGGTCCACTCGGTGGCTGGTAAATGATGCCAGTTATCAGTTATTGGTAGGGCCTGCTTTACACATAGTGGGACAAAACCATGAAGATACACACTTGTCCAAATTATCCTCAACAGTACCTGGAAAAAAAAATCCAACAATCTTTTTGTATGCAGAGTACTTTGGGGTATAAGTAAAGATAGTTATTTGTTCAAAAAAATTTTTTTGAATGTTTATCTTATTTTGAAAGATTTTTTTTATCCTCTGAACTACTTCTCAGAAGCCTGCAACAGCTAGCTAGGCCTTGGCCCAGCTGAAGCCAGGAGTCTGGAGCCCAGTTAGTCTTCCCACGTGCATGGCAGGCAGTGGAGCCTTCACCTGTTGTGTCACAGGTGTGTTAGTAGGAAGCTGGAATCTGAAGCGACGCTGAGGACTGGCACAGAGGCACTCCAGTACAGGATGTGGGTGTCCCAGGCAGCACCTGACTGCCACACCAAATGTGAGGCGAGTGTGTGTTCTCGGTGGAGCTGGGGTGGTACTGTTTTTTTTTTTTTTTTTTTTTTTCATTACAATTAACTTTGGGTTCTGTGAACTGCTTTGTTTTGGGACTTGTAGGAGATTTTTAAAAATTATGCACAGTGGAAGAGGCAGCCGGATCTGTGAGCTGAGAGGTGTTTCTCGATGTGGCACTAAGAAAGTCTTGACTTCGTAATAATTATGTAACTCAAGGAGGTAGCAGAATGAGACGTTGTTTGGAGTGTTTATTTGCTTGGGAAGAATTTCCTCTGCTTTTAGAAAATTGTACCCTGTTCGGTTGGCAGGAGAGAGAGACATCATGGAATAGTCCCCGGGGATGGAATGTCGTGAGATTAGGCCCTGCCCGTGGGGCTGTGGTTCTCTCGAGCAGCTGTCCCCCAGGACGCCTCTCCGCCCTGGGCAACGAGAGAACGTCGTTGTCATGGGCCTGTGTCTCCCCCTCCCCAGTCCCACCTCCTGACTTTTAGTTTCCAAGAATTTCCAAGCCTCGGACCACTTTTCAGATCACATAATTTGTTCAGCTTACTTGAAAGAGAGAGAATCTTCTATTTGCTGGTTCACTCCAAAATTACCATAACGGGCAGGCCTTAACTAGACTGAAACCAGGAGCCAGGAACGCCATCCTGGTCCCCCCCGCCCCATGGGTGCAGGGGCCCTGTTTTTTGACCCACGTTCCACTGCTTTCCCAGGTGTGTTAGCAGGGAATTGGTGTTCCTCTGGGATTCCAGCTGCACAGGGGACAGCTCACCTCACTGCGCCACACTGTGCACCCCTCCAAAGGGGCACGCACGCACAGCCCAGCCAAGCAGTGTCAGCATTCAAACGTGGTCGTTCTTATCTTGGATGTGGTGTTTGCAGTAGCTGCCCACCTGTGCCCTTGCTGAAGCTGCCGTCTCGTACCCTCACCGTTGTCTTCAGAGGCCAGGCCTGCCTGCGGAACCCCAGGTGTTTGATTCCAAGTTTGGGCTTTCTTCACCCCGACTCTAAGAGCCACCCTCTTTGCCGACATCCCTGGTATCTTGACGCACTTCAGAGTTGGGCATGAATTCTGACTCCTCAACATGGCTAATCTCTCTGCTTTTTGAAAACCTGAAACGTCCCATCCATGCTGGCTGCTGAGGTCATGTCTGCCTCTGCCAGATGTGAGTCACGGGTGGAGCCGTCCAGGCCCGAGTGACGGTCCGCCCTCCCGTCCTCACTGGTCAGCCCATTCTCACTCTTGCCTGTTCATGGGCATCCCAGCAGAATCCATTCCTGCTTGCCTTTCTCCCTGTGGTGTCCTAAAGTTGCCCCTTGAGCTCATCTGATACAGCTCGGTGGGCAGTGTCTGTCGCCATCCGTCCTGGGGGAAAGAGGGTTAGTCTTCCTGGTGTTGGGTGATTGAGCAATGTAGAGCACCCTGAAATGAATCCTATTTTCCTGTCTTCCTGGTCCCCTTCAAGTTTTGAAACCAGTAGCCAGCCCCGAGTGCCACATGTTGATTCTACACAGGTTTTTGTTGGCTGCCCCAGTTCGGGGCAGGAGAGGTTTTTTTTAAGTGCAGCTGCGTGAAAAGGCCTCCCATCTGGGCCGTTCCGCTTGTCCGTTCGCAGGAGCAGATCTGGGATAGTTCTGGCTCGCTTCTCCCCACACATACTTTTCCTCTATTCTCATCCTCACATATGTTTGATTCCCTTCCCCCCCCACCACCACTTTGTGGCTTGAGTTCAGATTGTCTGACTTTATGATCAGGGCAACGTCCCAGCCGTCGTTGGCTGCAGCCTTAGATGGCCCTGGGATCCCGGGTGCCTAGAGAGTAAGCTCAATTCCTGCCCTGCAGCTGCGTCTGCCTTCCTGCCCCTTCCTGAGCCGCGTCACCCAGAGAACGAGACCCAGAGAACGAGACACTCTTCCAAGAGCACACCGGCCGAGCCATAAAATGAAACTGCTTTTACAGACGGCTCTCCCTGTGTTCCGCACCCTCAAGCTGCAGAAGCGCTGCTCGCCCTGGATCCGTTACCGTCACTCGGCTCTGCCCAAGTTAGAAGCAGAGAAGGGAAACTCACGCCGGGAGGGAAGGAGATAGTAATGGTGCCTCTTCCCTCTCCCATCCGAGTGTGAAGTGCTACCCTGGAAACCCCTTTGCCGTGGTGGCTCGAACCTTTTTCACTAACCCAGAGTGAGCCGCTTCTTTGCGTGCCCACGTCCCAAGGCAGAGTGTCTGGTTTGAGTTTCAGCTTCGCTGTTTGCGATCCAACTTCTTGCTAATGCACCTGGGAGGCTGCGGGTGCTGATCTAGGTACTGGGGTTCTTGCAACTCTCACGGGAGGCCTGGGTGGGGCTCCAGGCTTGCTGGCTTCAATCCGGCCCAACGCAGCTGGTGTGAGCGTGTGAGGAATGAGCAACAGGTGGAAGATCATTTTCTTTGCCCTCTCTCTTGCAAATGAATACATAAAATACTAACAAAAACACATCTTGAACTTTATAGAAAGTTTTCTATTTTCTTCCCGGTCCCCAACAACATTAAGATAAAAATTACTTTTCTAAGTGGTTCTCGCCTCTGTAAGTCGCCCAGTTTAGATTTTGATCCAGCATGCTGCTGTGAATGTCGCCACTTAGAGAAAACATCTTTCATGCTGTTTGTACCCAGAGAAGTCGTTTGACTTCCCATCTCAACGTTCCTCCTGCTGTCTTGATGAAGTTGGCTTTCCTGAATTTTCTAGCAGAGCTTCTTTCCATTTTTTTATTTCTGGGTTGTGGGCATCCGCTC